CAGCATCTGAGGAACCAACACTTAAACAAGCTCTGCTTCAAGTTAGTTCCCCCTTTCTCGTACTTTTTCTATTATATTTGTCGTTTCATTGTATATTTTTTGTGATATAATTATTCTTGTATTATGTTTTGGATGAGAAATAAAATCATTTGAATCATGTAAAACGAATGTGTGTGTATATGTATAATAATAATAATGAATAATGATAATAACAACATTTATAATGCGCACGTATCCATCCAAGGGATGCTCAAAGCGCCTTAACAAATTGTGTATTTACATGTTTATACATATACATATATACATTACATATTTATATAAAGATATATGTAAGTAGACAGCCTCAACCGATACGTTTAACCAGTGCATGACAACAACTATGGCCAATAATAGAACACAAGTTACATGTATGTTAAAGTTAGATAGCAGCAAATAAGGTTTCAAAATGTACCATTAATTTTCATAACATATAATTGATAAAAGATGCAAGAAAACTTTGAATTTACAGATTACTTTAAGACATCATCTACACAAATAGACTGTATCAATGTGGCAATGCCCATGGACACACAGCTAGTAAGCAATAGTATTCACACCCAAAACACCAGGTAACAATTTAAGACTTTAAGTATTATTTACGATGCATCTTATTATTATAATATCTATGTACATGCAATTAACGATACATTTGGTAACAACATTCTATTGTCTGTACATTATTATGTACCCATATGTTTACAATGGCTTTAAACGAATCAACACAAACCGAATCAGCAGTAAACTTACTATGTACTAATGTAGGATTTATTTCCATGTCTTCTATTGTGGTTTAAAGAATATGTAAAACGATTTTGTGTGTATATGTTTAATGATAATGAATAATGATAATAACAACATTTACAATGCGCACATATCCACCCCAAGGGATGCTCAAGGCGCCTTAACAAATTTTGAATATACATGTATATAGATATACATATATACATTACATAGTTATATACAGGTATATGTAATTAAGAAGTCTCAACCTGTACTTTTAACCAGTGCATGTCAACAAAATATGGCCAATAATAGAACAAAAGTTACATGTATGTATGTTAAAGTTGGATAGCAGCAAGTAAGATTTAAAAATGTACCATTAATGTTCATAACATATAGGCTAATTATAGGATTTCCCGGCCAAATTCGCGAGTTTGTCATTCAAATTCATTTGTCTTGCGTTCAAATTCGACGGTTTTAGTGCTGTCGGGTATATCTCAGGTTTATATTCCTTTTTCTAGATTTAAAATCTATGAATTTGTCGTTATAATCTATGTATGTTTTATTCCAATTGATGAACAAAGTGCTTCTTTCGCTATTTGGTCATTCGATTTAGCGCAACACGATTTTCTGACATCGCGACGGTGTACTTCTAGCATTCTAATTCATTTGTAGCATTCAAATTAACACTTTGTGCACTAAAATTAATGGTCAATATACATTTCTCGTTTATTAAACACTTTTAATAGCTCATTCTTTTCTTTCAAGACCGTTTTTTCATGTGTATAACATCCTATTTTTTTCTTCTTGCATTTATACTCTTTATATACTTTTAGATTTATCAGATATTCATCAGCCTTTAAGTTTGATTGTTAAAAAAAAGACTTACATTTACGGACTTGATGGTCTCAATATTTGTGTAAATTTTCATGTAAGAAAGTTGTTTGTCTTGTGTTTCATCATAAATTTATCACAATTTCATTATGGAGGAACGGTACAATATTGTGACTTGGGTAGGTGTTTTTGTATCCCCACTTTTCCGGGGTATATGAACGAGATTCCATATCCCTTGATTTCGCCCCTTCTTTACCTAATGTCTGACTACAAACATATGCTTTGTCCTCAAAATGAATAATTGAATAACAGAAAAGACCCCAATGGAAAATCTTTTTTTTAATTGCATTTTTTAAAAGCTGTAAACGTGTGTTGCCGTTTCTTCCCCCTAACATTCCTAACTTGAATAAACATAATTCGAATACAAATGACAGGTGTTAATTTAAGTGATAAACATGACGCCTCGACAAGTGACGATTAATTTGAATGCTAGTTGAGCTGTTTCTAAATTGAATGACAGATCTATGAAATCCTTCGACCAAAATCCTAAATTAAATACAAAATCGGGAAAATTGAATGATAATTGGCATGACAAAGCTGATCTGCGCTAACTTAAATGCAAAGTAGATGAATTCGAATGACAAACTCGCGAATTCGGCCGGGAAATCCTATAATAAAAGATGCTAGAAAACTTTGAATTGACAGATGACTTTATGACAGCATCTACACAAATCAATGTGGCAATGCTCATGGACACCCCAATAGCATAGTCTAAGCATTAATATTCACACCAGAACAACAGGTAACGATATGAGAGAGTATTATTTACGATGCATCTTATTCTTACAATATCTACGTACATGAAATCAACGATACATTTGGTAACAGCATTCTTTTGTCTGAACATTATTATGTACACAAAATGGCTTTAAACGAATCAACACAAACCGAAGCAGCAGTAAACCCAATTTGTACTAATGCAGGATATACTTCCATGTCTTATATTGTACCTGAATTTCCTAGCACTCACACTTTCGATACTATGATCAATAACATTCAACACATTTCATAGTTCATTGGTATAATGTAACCATTGTATCAAATTAGGTTCACAACGTGATGTTAAAGAAGTTTTCACAGCATTTTAACAAGTAAATATAACGACAATCCACATTTCTTCGAAACTGAACCATTCTACAATATCAAATCTAAAGGAATTTCGCTTTGCATAACTTACTGCAGAATAAGAACTAATGCTGGTTTAATTATGTGTCCATTTCGATAACTAGGTCTGCAATTAGAGACATTCATTCATGCTATATTGTACCCAGTGAGTCACTATCACTTTTCAGCACCACATGCTTAGCTAGTATGTAGATGACATACACACAAAATATACCTGCATTGCATCTTGCAAGATACATACACGTAACCAAGTTCTCTATAAACTTGACTCATAATGTGGTATCAGGAGTGGAATCATAAAAACCTACATCTGCTGTCCCTTGGTAAAAGACTGAACAGAATCTAATCTTGAGAGAAAGGGAGATAAATAATGCATTTATTTATCAAATATACATACATAGAGACTATCACATGCTTCACAGACTAGCTTAAAAGGAAAAACCGAGTGGAATATTCTTGTTGTGCCCCAAGTGATCAATACATTCAGATACAGTTAGTTCAATTTGATAGACAGGCTTATTTCAGCGATGTCAACCCAAGAGAAAAACCAGTAGCAACTGGTCCATTTAGACTAGTTAAGCCTTAAGCCAAATAGTGAACCCTGGAAATTGAAATGGGATAACTGGTCCAGTTGGATCAGACCAGTTGACACAGACCAGTTGAATTATAACTGGATCAGTAACAGAATTTAACTGGTCAAGCACAAATGGGTCCATTTATCCTATTTCAATCTCAGGGGTTACCAGTTGGCTTTAACTGGTCTAACTGAATAGTTCAACTGTTTGGCAAAACTTCCAACCAGTTGACACATCCAGTTTAAAAACTTGATTAGTATTTTAAACTACAAGTCACTCTTTTATATATTAATTTTAGCATTGGCTACAAAACAGTTATACTGTTTCGTCCGCTATATCCAATGTAATTGTATTGGTATAGAGAAGGTTTGGTCGATTCAATGTATCAGACGTTTTTACATATTCTTGCATTTTATTGAATTCATTTTAGTTCAAAGTTGATGTTTCCCTAATTAATTTTTAATTAACTGTTCTTTATAAAAAGTAGTGAAATATCTTCATAATTTCTGACAATTTATATCTAATAGTATTCTCGTAATGAATTGCATTTAACTAAATCATCAGTAATTAAGATATGTGCTGTAAATTCAAATAAATGTTATAAACAAACATAGATTTGCACGCACCCCATATTCATCATGCAAATGAACTGGTGTGGTTCAACAGGAAATATGCCCACAAACCACTTTTCAGCGTGTGCTACTGGAACTATGCCATGCACAGACCAGTTATCAAGTTTTGCAACTGGAATATGCCAACAGACCAGTTACCAACTTTGGCAACTGGAAATATACCCACAGACCACTTTTCAACTGTTACCTGGAAATATGCCATGCACAGACCAGTTATCAACTGGTGAAACTGGTCATATGAAGGACTGATTCCAATAAATGAAATGTAGTCGCACTAAATATTCGCTTGATGTGCATCATGGACTAGTTTGAATCATCTGGAACCAGTTGCCATCAACTGGGAACCATATGAATTTCAATGGAACCAGATGTATATTTTAACTGGTTTTATCTGTAAGGATAGCAAGGAAGTCCTGAACTTCAAAAAGGCAGTTATCCCTTTTATACATCGTTAGCATTGTCCTCCATTTGTCTTGACATCGCAGTAGGTACTTGTTACCTGATTTAAAGTAAAAAAGGAAGAAAAGTTAGTTCACAAACGTCAGTTATTGTGGGAAATACTAACAGAACAATCTGCCTACAGTACAAAAGTGTTGGGTACAGGACAACTTTAGAAAGTAATAGAAGAAACAAAAAGTCAACGCACAGAAACTGCCTCCAAAAGGAGAGTCATGAAGCAAGAGTATTTTTTAATACAAATTGCATTTCAAAATTTATTTTAATTTTGTGGTGTTTTGTGTAGCTTTGGAATCTTTAACTTAAGTCAAACGAGGTTGCAATTTATTTCGAGGAATCTTCTAGCAGTGCTAATCTTTGTATTCATGTAATCCATGTAAGCCATCCATGTAACGGTGTTTTTGCATTTAGAATTGTTTAAAAAATGCGTTTGTGTCATAACAATCGAAAAGAGACCAAGTCCATTTACGGCGTTAAACAATTCTACAATCTTGGGTTACAAGTAAAACATATATTCTGAAGAAGAATAAAAAAAAAATCAACCACTCCATGAAATTCTTCAAAGTTTACCGACAATGATAAGCCCTCGTTTGGCCCTTGTTAAGGCAACATTCATCTGGTTCTCATCATTTATCAATCCAAGATGTCTCTTCTGCCAGCCTTTGCTTGGCTTTTCGTCAATCTCATTCCGAGGTTTGGAGCGCACGGTTGAGAAGATAACATAGTCCGCCTCACTCCCTGTAAACAAATGAGTTTGAAACAATTTTATGGTCAACGTAACTAGACATAACTATTTTTAACAACTACCCCATCTTCTATCAGCCTAGTCCAGAATCTGGCCTATTTAATTTTGATCTCCACCACACCAACGTAACTTTTTTATTTATTTTTTATTTTTTAAGAAGACTTCCAAGAAGACAGCCGCAAAAAACCCAAGACCGCCAAGCCCAAGAAGCCTGTGGCAAAGATGGCTGCAAAGTCCAAGTGATTTGCACGCCAACCCTCCCATCCCACCAAAACGGCTCCTTTCAGACCCACCACATACCCAGGAAAGTACACTTGTTCAAAATTGCTACCTCTCCCTTACTTTCTACCAGCCGATGATAGCGTAATCATTAAATTAGGACTAGTGTCCCTTTTCGCAAGAACCAGAATTGATCCCGTCCAGGAAGATCTACAGTAGCGCAAATTGTAACGTTGCGAAGACTGGTGGAAGGTATTAAAGCAAAGCATCTGACAGCGGTGCTTACTTTCGTGGATTTTAAGAAGGCCTTTGATTCAATCAATAGAAAGAAGATGTTAGAGATGTCAAGAGCCTACGGAATACAACACACAATAGTTACAGCAGTAGGGGTGATGTACAAAGATACCGCAGCTCAAGTGCGTTCACCAGATGGAGAGACTGACTCCTTCACCATCCTAGCAGGAGTGCTTCAAGGAGATACCTTAGCACCATACCTATTCATCAAAGCATTGGATTATACTCTAAAAATGGCTACTTAAGGGTTCGGGGATTTAGGCTTCACCCTACGGGAAAGGAAAAGTAGCAGATATCCTGCGGTAATCATCACAGATACCGACTTTGCTGATGATATTGCACTTATTTCAGACAATCTGGAAAAGGCACAGGAGCTCCTAGAACAAGTCGGTCTACACATAAACAGTACTATGACATAATTCATGTTGTACAACCTTCGTGAAGACGAGATCTGTACTGCTGACAGGACAAAGCTAAAGCAGGTCCAAAACTTTCAGTACATTGGCTCGTGGGTTGATCAGTCAAAACAAGATCTGATTATCCGAAAGGCAAAAGCCTGGACTGCTTTGAACAATCTGACAGCCATCTGGAAATCAAACCTTGGTAAAAAACTGAAAGTCCGATTCTTTAGGGCTACAGTGAAAACTGTACTGCTCTATGGATCAGAAGCCTGGACTTTGACAAGAAGCCTGGAAAAACAACTGGATTATTTTGCTATACAAGACTCTTGACAGCAGCACTAAATATAGAATTGTATAGGGACATCAGCCATACTGAGAGACCGCCGCCTCCGTTTCAGCGGGCACTGCGAGAGGTGCAAGAGTGAAATCATTTCACAATGCTCTTCTGGGAGCCCTCAAGGGGCAAACCCATCAGACGGCGCCCAGCAATGACTTACATTGACCAGTTAGAAAAGGACACCTGTCTTCCAAGGTAGGAGCTCCCAAAGATCACGGAGAATAGAACTGAATGGATAAAGCTTGTCAAATCAGTGCGAGTACGCTCGACCTAGTAGTAGTAGTATACATATGATTGCAGCTCCTTTTTTCATCCCCACTTGCCTTTCATTTGGTAGACAACAAACACACATGCCATATGAAGAAGTCTTCGATAGGTTTTAGCGTATTTTGATTTGTTTGAAGGGAGAAATGTATGATTGGTTGTCCAGAGGGGGGGGGGGCAATTATTCTCATGTATAAACATTGGTTACCAGCAGGTACCAGTCTTGCATTCAGTTCAATACACTTTTGATTGTTTATGAATGTTTAATCGACGAGCTCCCTCGTATTCAAATAAATTACTCACTGCATACAGAACATCAAGAGATCTTCGAACAAGTCCAATGAATACGTTTATCGACCCTCTTACTCTGACAAAAACATATGGTGTACATTAATTTACCAATGCTGCCCAAATGTATGGAATAGCCTCCCTAACTATCTTAGAAACATTAATACAATAGAAAAGTTTAAATCTGCCATTAAAAAACACACTTATTTCATATGTAGCCTCGCACCACACAACCAACGGATTATAAGATTGTTAAGTAGTTTATATTCATTTACGACCCTTGCTACTGGTTTCATTTTGATCTCCAATAGCTCTGAAACAGGGCATGCCATTACATTGAATAAATAAAGAGCAAAAAGTAATTAATTGGAGAGCCAAGATTTCAGACAAACTAATTCTTCTTTTCACGGAATTTCAACAGAGTTTTATTCCTCCTTTTGTCACCTTGCACAAGACCTTGGGAGTTAGAGTGCTTCAACACACTACATAAACACCCTTTTCTCTAAAGTATCATTATATGGGACTAGACAATCTTCTCTTTTTTAATTGAGTTATGGACGTCCGTTTCAAAAGCACTCTGGGATAGCTTCATGATTTTTAAGTCGGTTCTGGTTTATTTCGTGCGCTTGTATACTGCCGTCTGCTCTCGGCCGGCGCGGGGCAGAGCGTGGTAACCGGTAGTCAGTAGTCACCGAGCTAGCTGTCTATACAGTGCGTCTCAGAAAAAACGAAACCGAGAACTATCGATGTTTTATCATACCTTAGTCACATTTATAATTAATAAATGACACATATTTGGAAAGCGTAGATCATCCTCTTTTATTTGATGCAACTCATATTATGCATATTTCATGCATGAGTAATAAAAATGAATATGAAGAGAGGAAACCAAAAAGTCATTTGGCGGGCGGTATCTGAATTTTATAGAGAAAATCACATTTCTAAAAAGTTGAGTTTCTGCCCTTTCATATGACACCCCAATCATGAAACATGAGCAAGGAATGACAAAGTTCTGTTTGTTTAAAAGTAGTGCTTGCATTTCCATAATTTAATCAAAAGAATTCGTTTTCACTGGTTCCCTGCCGTAGCAACAAGCAGAATTGACAAAAAACTTAACTCCGTTTGTTGCAACAGCAGACAGCCAGTGAAAACGTATTCGTTTAATAAAATTACGGAAATGCAAGCACTACTTTAAAAAAAAACAGAACTTTTTATTCCTAGCTCATTTTTCATGACTGAGGTGTCATATGAAAGGGCAAAAACTTAACTTTCTCGAAATGTGATTTTCTCTTTGAAATTCAGATACCGTCCGCCAAATGACTTTTTGTTTTCCTCTCTTCAAATTAATTTTAATCACTCATGCGTGAAATATGGATTATACGAGTTGCATCAAATTAAAGAGGAAGATCTAAGCTTTACAAATATGTGTCATTTTTCAATTATAATTGTGATTAAGTTAAGATAAAACATCGATAATTCTCGGTTTCGTTTTTGTCTGGACGCACTGTATATTCATTGCAATAGTTGCTGGTTCCTTTCACTTCGGTTTGTTGATATAGTATATCGTAAGCGCTTTTCTATTTGTTTACAAACTGAATCGTCAGTTAGAATATGGTGCGATACGGTGAATGTGATGTTTGCTGGTCGCACGAACAAACAGAAGAATTTTTTTTCTTCTGAGATATCACTGAATGAGAGATGTGACTTAGGTAAAATTTCCAACAAATCCTGCTCAGCGCACAACCTGGGAAAACGTTGTTTCTATATTTAAAGGCATGACAAGTTTGGAATCACTGCACGATTGCAACTTTGCTCGCGGTATTTTTACAAAGAACAATTACAAAACGAGGAACATGCAGTGGGATTCTCTAAGTATTTTTTCTTAAACAATCATGGACTTTGTACAAAAAATCACAGGAAATCAATAGTAGCCGACAAGAGAGAAATCTAGAAAATGCTTTCGGATATGTAAATTACGCACGTCAGAAGTACGTAAATCCCGGAAGGGGCTCGAAATTACATCCAAGGGACGCACTTATTTGTCCTGAGATAATCCTAGATAGTATTTGCCCTGGTATGGATCATCCTAGGGTGTATTTCCTGAGTGAGAGTCTTGAGAAATTGCATACAAAATAAAGTATCACACTAGATGAAGATCAGAGTACTACGGAAAGATGACTTAAATTAAGTATCATAATAAAGGTAAATAAGCCAATTTTTTTCGAGGGAAGTGATGATACAACAGGCACTGTAAAACAATGAAAATGTGAGAAGTCTAGATTAGTACATGATTAGGTTCCTATAAAATGTATGTAGCATTATAAAGTCTGATTGTTTCTCCTCAACGTTCCTTAATTTATACCCCAGTCTTTTCACTGTTCGTACCCATTTCTGAGAAGGAAAAACAAAACACCTATATTCCAAAGTTGTTGCATGTAACTGTATAAGCGCGAATAGATTAATTAAAAACAGATTTGTGATTATTATGATTTTTAAAATGTACCTTGACTTTTGACCACCGTGCTGACTTTGATCTTTCGGAGAGATGAATTTTTCTTGAGCCTTTCTGCAATTTGTGCACACTGAAGGTTATACTGAGACAGGACAATGATCTTCTCGGGTGACACCCCTTTGCTGATCATCCCTTGGACGATTCTAATCTGTGGTGGTTTAAGATTTGGGGAGCAGAGGGAGGGGCAGACTATCAAAGCATGAAGCACACTCATGAGCAAAACCCCATCGCCCCCAAAAACATGTCCAGGTGGGTTAATTCCATGTACATAACATATGAACCTCATTTGTACATAACCACCACTGAAAAATCTTACTACATGTACATATACCTTAATTTATGAGGCTTACAAAATAATACAAGTACATGTTTTTAACGTAGCTTCATTTTGTATAGATAACTATTACAAAATAATTGTTGTAATGATGTTACATTAATTTGTGTAGGGTCATTTCCAGCGAAAATGATTTAAAAAGAAAAAACTGATATTAGATAGTTTTTTTTTAAGGGTCCGTTAACAAATTTTACTAAGTAAATTGAGAAAATATGACTACCAGGGACATGCCCTGCACATTTCACAGTATTCCGCTTCATTCTTGAAGATAAAATGGAATCTTTGTAATTGTAATGGACATGCCCCAAAATAGCAATGATTGTTTGCCCCTGTGAACAGTTTCAAATGTCTGTGGCTTAAAGGTTTAATGAGTCAAATTGAGGTATTAACTTATTGTCTACGTGAACCGGTTGGTCCCTTTGATAAGTCTATGGGGATGAGAGTATATAGGGACACACGTAAAATATAACTTAATTCGTCCATACCACATAGCCAATCTCAGCACCGTTACTCTTTGAACCCTCGTTGCCTTCTCCCGACTTCACCGAGAGTCTGTCCTCTCGCCCGTCAACATGGCAGAAGACTGTAGGCGTCTCACCATTGTTGGGCCAGATACTGTAGATGGGGTCAGGGCCACGCCGCATTACAGATTCTGCCGTCCTCAGTTTACCATTATAGAACGCCGAGGATGGGAATTCACATATCCGATGGTGCTGTACATGAGAAGGAAAGAATAAACAAGAACATCCAGATAAAGTGCCCAGGAGGCAAGTCACAATTATGTTTCCATTAACTTGTAAATCAATAAATGAAGACATTGGTTCCATTTGCATTTCATTGACATGTAAAACATTGCATTACATGTTCTTTGAAACACACGCAGTATAATAATATTCAAACGGTGGGATGAACCTGTAATGGAGACACGTACCCCAAAATTTTTCCAAGATCGGTTGAAATGTTTTAGACCCCTTTTTTGACCGCGATCGATTACTTGTATGTGCCCCCCCCCCCAAAAAAAAAAATAAATAAAAAATAAAAAAATAAAAAAAATAAAAAAAAATAAATAAATAAATAAATAAATAAATAAATAAATAAATAAATAAATAAATAAATAAACAAATAAATAAAAAAAAAACACACCAAACTCTGGCTACGTGCCTGGTTATTATTCCCTCAGTGCATGTGTAGTTTTAGGGTGGAACAGTGCAATGTTTGCACGAGACTCGAGAATGACGCTCCAGCCGATCCACGGATTGATTAATAGCGGATCGCGGTGAGTAGTTCCCCCGAACTTAAAACTATGGTCACAAGACCTAAAAATGGCCAGCTCGACGGCGAGGCTGCGAGTTTTGAGCCAATTTCGCCCAGGCACGGAGCGGCGGCCCCCGGGCACCGCTTGTTTTTAGGGCATCGCTTTTTAGGGCAACCGCCATCATAACCATCACCATGATCATCTTGGTCATCATCATCATCATCACCATCATCACCATCATCACAATAACTAGCATCACTATCATCATGATCATCACCACCATCACCATCCCCATGATCATCATTACTATCACTTTCATTGTTATCATCACCATCAGCAGCAGCAGCAGCACCATCATCATTCTAACCATGATCATAACCATGATCATCTTTATCCTTATATATCATTATCTTCATTCATCATCATCATCAGCATCAATATTACCATCATCACCATCATCGCTATGATTATCATCATCATCATCATCATTCTTATCATCATCACCACTATCATTAGCACATGGTATCGTTTTTATATTTATTTCTTCTAAGGACCACACTCACCATTCTGTGCTGCGTGGTAAGCATCTCGGCTTTCTCCTTGTATTTTTCTAGCAGTGAGATATCCATTCCAAGCTGCTTAGCAATTGGCTCTGTGATTATTGGCCTGTCAGCATCAAACACGGATTAGGCAATACAGTTGACAGAGAAAAAAAAATGGCTCAACAGTATTTTCGTGGTCCATCAACACAAACATTTATATCGTTATATTATTGAAGAAAGGAAATTGATGTCCAAAAGCCAACACAGAGCCTTCCGATTTCTCTCACGCATTAACAGTGAACTAAATTCATAAATAGACTTACATAAAGTATGAGATCTATATCGAACATTTTTTCTTCCTTTTTCCCTCTGTGTTTTCGGCTCCATGCTTGTTTCCTACTACATTCAATACATCAGCATCAAATAATACTGTTGATATTAAAGAATACAATTAAAAGATCGCAAATTCATTGCAATGATATTTCAAAAGTGGGCTTCATGCAAATGTACATCTCTTTTTTAATTTCAAGTTGATTCATAGGTATATTGCCTCAAAAGAAAACTTATATACATGGACATTTATGAATAACAAATTATGCAACTCTTGTGGACAAGTAGTCTAAACTTTTTCACTTTATGTTATATTTCAAGGATGTGACTTTGTTTTGGAAAATAATATGTAACTTCATATTTGACCTATTCCAAAAAGAAATACAGATAGACCAAAGATATTAGTTGTAGGTAAGGACATCGGAAACAAGAAATATTCTCTCCTGAACATGGTGATGCTTTCCCAGTATATTTCAGTCTGAGGTTCTGAACTTCTCAAACTTCTATTGCCCAAAATAGCATATTTGTATCCTCTTCATACTTAAAATATAACTTCGGTAACTTCCATTGCCAAAAATAGCATATTTTGTTATCCTGTTTGTATTTAAAATATACTATTGTAAAGTGAGTATTAGGGTAAAAGTGATTTGTGATTAGATTTATAAATGTATTCGTGAATAAGATTTGATGTACACAAAGTTTATTCAGAGTCACAAAAAATCCCGAATAATCCCGTATTTCTTGAATTATAATTTGAGGAGAATCGTTGGGAAAATGTCCTCTTCTTGCTACATGTATATATCCACATACGAATTTGACCTTTCACCCTCCCTTCTTGAAAAATGAAGCAAGGGTATGCCACTCTACCTGAGTTGTTGATGATCTCCGATCAGTACCACTTGTTCGGGTTGCACTGAAACCAGAGGGATCAAAGTTTCTGGCTCGGTGCACATCCCAGCCTCATCAATAATCACCTGGATAAAACTGGTGAAAATTGATTTGCGAATCATTCCAGCGGCAGAACAGGTACACAAGACTATGTCCTGGTTCTTCAGTTCTTGTTTCTGCGGTAAATGAAGCAAATTATGTTTCTGAAAAAAACCTTAACAAAAATAAAGGCATTTTTATGGGCTTATAAGGTTAAGAGCATGGTTATATTCTATTCACAGGTAAATTTCACAATTATTGGGAGTAAATGGAAATTGTCAATATTCCTTTCTAGAAGTTAAATTTGAAGCTAATACTTTGAATATACTTGTATGTGTGGTATAATGATAAAGAACCACTAAAATACAAAATAACTACTTTCGTAGATGGGAATTCATAAAGAATATGCATAAAATACATAGCTCCTAAACTAGAAAAGAAAGACAATGTATATTGAACAAAATGACCTAAATTACACTCATCTATATTAATAATAATAATAATAGAGAATATTTATGAAGCGCATAATAAATTGTAAATTTCTCTATGCGCTTTACATAACAAATTTGAATTCATAAACAACATTAATACAACAATAAATAACAAAATAAATAAGCAAATTACAAAAAATATATATGAGAACGTAAACCAATCTTTTGTGTCTACCTAGAACATCCATGACCTTTACACAAATTCGAGCAATTAGGCGTTCTCTTATAGTTCAAAAATAAACACTCACCGTGGCTTCAAATATCTTGCTTTTGTAGAGTCTGATTTCTGTGGGAAGTATTGTACCTGGATCAGTGCGAAATTTCTCCTCGTATGCCGCTAATAATTTTGCATACGGCTTCCCATGTTTCCTGATCAAGCGATGAAGCGCAATGTCTGACAGCCCCTCTGACATAGAGGCTTCTCTCCTGGACCACTTAGGTCGAGAAGCACCAGGGATGGGGTACTCCTCATACTCGATTTGCTTACTGTAGACTCGCACAATTGAGATGTTTTTGAAGTTCTTGAGATAAGCTAAGGCAAGTTTATGACACGGTTGAATGAACAAGAAGACAAGAACACTTGAGACTCTAATTTGGAACTCTGATGAACAGGGATTTCATCTAATCTGGAAACAAATTCAGGACAACTTTTTTCTCGGCCATACAATACGTTTGGATATAAATGAAAGAGTTGCATATGTAATGGAAAACAAACAAAAGTCGTATTGTGACAGAGTTTTGTAAGCTGTCAAAAATACAAGGAAACAATATTGGACCGATACAGAACCATGTGGAGCACTAAAAGGATTTACTTGTAATGTATGTATTATAAATTAAGTTAATAATATTAAAGTTAATAACACAAAGGACACTATATTTCTAATACGGGATGATGAAACCACGATAAAATTAATTTGGCAAAGCAGAATTAACTTGTTTTTAGAAAAAAATACATCTATATTCTTGAATTAAATTGGTCATCATATAAAAGGATTTTGCACTTGTTTGCACTAATATTGGTAACGAAGGAATGCAAAGAACTAACCGGCTACAACATCCACCGAATCGTTTGAGGGTCCACAATAGAGCACCTGTGGACGTATTGCGCCAACTCGTAGCTGATTGAGACGAGTGAAGAAGTATGCAAGGTAAGCTCCCGTTACAGTCTTTCCAGTGCCTTGAAGGAGAATGTTTGTTATATGGAATGATGATCTGCATTCAATATTTGTTTAAAGCCCCAACTGCACTTTGTATAGCTACCTGCACCCTCTACATGTTATAGCAAACAATGCCTAATCGGTGCCTGTTGGTCCCCCATGATCCCCTTTTTCTTATGTTAATTGAGAGCTGATTTGATGAGATAACCACCTGTCAGTGACCTTGCAGCGGTCTTTCACCCCCCCCCCCCCCCTGCCAAACTAGTACGAATGGGATTTAAGAAATAAAGGGTATTAATATCTCATCCGCGCATTTAATATTTGTTAAAAAGGAATTAGAAGTGTCGTAGTCGATTGGTCATAAGCACTTGACTCGAAATTCGAAGGTCGTGGTTCGATCCCCGACACGACACTGATGTCATTTAACAAGGCATTAATCTTCATTTGCCACACTCGACCCAGATGGGGTAAATGGGTACCTGAAAAGAATTGATTCCTTGAATTGCTGAAGCACTGTAATGGCAGCTAGGCTAAAGCCGGGGTAATAATAAATGCTTCTCGGAATAGAATTTCTAGATAGCCGGCACTTTAGAAATGCATATTACTATTATTATTATTATTAATTAAATGCATCGTTTAACAATGTTACATCTGAGATTCCAGGCCCTACGTCTGTGATATGGTGTAATATTGAAGCCCTAAACAAAATTGCGCTTTAAAATGATCATGAAGTGCCTCTAAAAAGTAAAAATCTTTGAGTGACCGGTTTTACCATACTCATTTGTCCCGATAGACTGTAGTGTAATGAAAACCGTTAGGAAAACGCAAAATGAAATTTCGATTTCAATCAAAAATATCTTTATTCATGATAATGATAATCAGACAGGAGATCGGCTTGTAAAAGTCATGGGATTCCTGAATGGCCTAAAGGTTTATAATTATGATTGCAGCATGAGCTAAATCAAGGATGAGACAAAGTTTCCGGATCCCGTAAAGAGTCAATTCATGCATTGTTGTATCTCGAGTGAGGTTTAAGAAGCCCTACATGTCGTATGTGCGTAGCTAGGACAATGGAAACAATGGATACGTGTAGGAAATTGTGATGAACACAGTGAAATTTACTATTAACAGAAGGAACAAAAGGGGAAAATGGTTGTTATAATGCACGCTCATGCACATATTAGCACAATGTTGAGTCCTATGAAAGCTTCTTTTAAAGCCTATAGGGAAGCTCTCTTACAAATACCCTATTTAAATAATAATGGGGAAAAAATGAGAGTAATAATACATATAATGATAATTATAAGAATATCAATAATAACGATGACAATAAAACCATTAATACAAATAATATTAATAATTATGAAAATAATAATGATAATTAAATTAGCCAGTTGAATAGCGCTCATATACATGTACATTATTATCTGGGTGCTTTTAGCTGATTCAAGATAAGCCGCCATTTTAACGGGGGGCCAAAGTCAGAAAAGAGGGGCTTGCCACTTCTACACAAACTAAGCTCACTTTGTTCATTAAACAGATTTTTATCATAATACAGGTTCGAGGACTATTAACCCTGAACAAACACCCCCAAGGACAACCACCCCCTAAATCGAAGGGGGCGCTTTTGACGAAAAAAAAAAACAAACAAATATTTTAAGGAAACGTTGAATCACCATGGATATGGTGCACAGGAAAGCGAAGTGGATAATCTATATTTTGATACCGATTTCAACATGATTAGGATTAATATAATTGCGATTTTAAGTAAAAGCATTATTTTTTCTTCTTATACATCAAAATGGAAAGGTACACTTTGTCGCGACTCCCACGGAATTTTTTCCATGTACAAGGACACTTTTCAGTGCGAAGGGGAGGCTGAATATCATTCTCTTTTCAGTACAAAGTTACAGCAACCTAATTTTATTGATTCGATTTCCACATTAATGACATTGTAAAATATAAATTTTGAGCACAGTATCTTGGTATATAAAATTTATATTTTACACACTCCATAACTCAATTAAATTATATCAACTTAAAGGTTTTTTGATTATTCATCTATTATGACACCAGACCATTGGTGATTTGAGGTTTTGCAGGCTAAGACCACTCAAGAAATAATTTGCTTTTAATAGATGTAGGAAAACAAGAAAAACAGAGCTCCCCCCAAAATGAGTAAAATCGGACAACCAATACGGAAGTTATGATTTTTAGAAAAAAAAGTATAACAAAGTAAATTACTACACAAATTGCCAATTTTTTTATCAGTTTGTGAAGTCATTGCCTCGCTATTTATTAATTGCTTTATATATTTTTATCCCATTTATTACCCTTTTTATCACCCAAAACATGATTTCCCGATGCCTTTGCCCAGGTTATATAATTTGTATTATATTGCATACATGACATTTCACAATATCTTTTATGCACTTTGAAGTATTGATACTATTTTCTGAGTATTGTAGATTCATAATCATTGATTTTTATATAAATAGTTTGTCCAAATTCCTATTTTTCATGATTTAACTGATAAACAAATAAGTCTATATTAGGTGCATGAACGCAAAAACATATTGCTATCAATATTACTTGTATGTTGTTGTAAGGAAAATAGATTCTTAGGAGGAAAAATAGAAATTTATATTATCAATATAAAGAAAACAATTAGTGAAAGTGAGGCAATGACGTCACAGACTAATGAATGAGTTGCCAATTTGTCTAGTGATTTTCAAAGTTTTTCATGTGATTTAAGGTTTCCTGAAAATATTATTTACAAAATACTATTTTTCGTCAATAGAGCCACCTTTGTGAACGCCCTGTAAATAAAAGACCCGATCCGATGAAGATACAACTTCATATCAATGGAAAGTTGAATGAACATAGAATAAAAATATAAAGTAATACAAAGTAGTTTCCCTTTTAGTATTGAACAAAGGCAAATTAAAACCTCATTTTCCACACCCTCCAAATTAGAGGACGACATGGGACAAATTTGCCTTAGTCACGGTGACGGAATAACACGTGAACCCATTCGGCTCGCCTATTTAGCTGAAGCAATGAGCTTTGCTTTAATGCAAGGTGAACAACTTTCGATTTTTATAGCTCTAAATTTGGGGTCTTCAGAGAAATTTGACTCCTCTAACAGACACTCAACTAGCATATTTTTATTGGAATTATTGTAATCTAAGGCTTACAAGCTTTCCGTTGATATGAAATTCAGACAGGGTCATGAACATCTGGCTAAAATAAGGTATGTTGGCCAAATGAAGTTTATGCTGGGCTGGGATTTACACTATTTACCATGTGATCTACAGTCCGGTGACCTATCTACTAGACCACAAGTCATTGCTGTATTAAGCGAGGAGGCAAGCCGTAATAAGAGTATGGATACATCTCTAATAGTAGCATACCCAGTGTTAAGCGGTGCCCTTTTTGTGGCACAATTAATTATAGAAAAAAAATGGCCTGAAATTTGAAACTAAGGTTCAGTCCACATTTCATCTTCATATGTTTGAAAGACATAAAGTTATGATTTCTTTTTCTCCAAATGAATGGGAAAGGGAGTTGCATGCGGTGTAAAAACAACGTGAGAACATTATTACGGTATTTTTAAAAAAGATATCCAGCAAGCAATATGTTTGCTTTGCAGTTATATTGAAGATAATGGAATAATAAATTCTTACCAGGGGGCCCTTGAATGACAGAGAATGTTTTTTGGAGAGCTTTCTTCACAGCAACTTGTTGGGAGGGGTTCAACGGATGCAGTGTCGACTCTGGTACATGCAGGTCTGTGAGCGCTATAGAAGTTAAGTGAAGTTTAAAAGTGAGGTTTGTTTATTCCACATTTTACATCGAAAAACAGTTTAAATTCTGTTTTTGTTTTTTACAAGCGTATAGATTTCATACACAAAACAAAATTAAAGATTTCAAATTAAGGATAATGTACGAAAAATAAGTACGTAGTTTCGAAATACATTTAAATTACAGGCAAGGTAAACAAAACAATGTAAAATGTTGGGAGCCTAAATTTCGAATGACTGGGTTATCAAATATTTAAGAAGATGGTGATGTTCTCCATATTTGAGATATCGATATCACTCTTTATTTTATGTTTGAGTGGAGATAAATTAAATTCATCCTTTGTCTAATATCAACATATTAAAAAGCCTTCAGTGAGTCACTTTGCAGTCGATATTTCTTCATATAGTGATGTCGAATATTATTCATAAAGGCCTTCGAATGAATCCTCAAGATAAAGACAAGTAGAAAAAACAAGACAAATGCGACTTTGTAACCAAAATGCCTCGGCCTAAATTTATATAAGATCCTGGATTCAATTATTTAGGAATATCACGGTGAGAACAAAAAGCCTTACCTAACATGTCCTAACAATAGAACTGTATGACCTTTTACCTTTGACCTATGACATGCAAATCCAAAAATATTTTGGTTGAGTTGAGTACTAAAATAGCGTAAAATAGTCATTGATTTGGCCATATACTAAGGTTAAAATGACCTTAAATTTCATGTATATTGACCTGCTAATATCTTTACAGTTGACCTTATTTTACTCAAAATATGATCAATTTATCTAACTGTGCTGGTGCACGCTAATTGGTATTAGTGTGCATTATTAATAACTTAAGGATCAAATTGTACTTGATAAATGTACACTGCGATAACAGGGTTAAAACCATGAGATCTTTTGTAACCATGACTCCTTCTAATTTACCCGAGTGCCAATCAGGATGATTCGGACGTTGCAAGACGATGTCTCGTTGCAAGACGATGTCATGTACCAACACCGGCACCCTCTCTGAGTCCACACCCTCTACAGCCACTTCTTCTCGTCTGCAGTAAAATTAAATACAGATGACTCATTAAAGCCTAAGTCCACTCCAAAATTAATTTGCTTTTAATAGATGCAGAAAAACAAGAGTAACAGAGAAAATCAAATTTGATTAAAATAGGAAATATAGTAAGGAAGTTTTAAGTTTAAAGTATGAACAAGTATAGAACCTAGAAATCCCTAAACAAATTGCCAATTTGGTTATCAGTTTGCCTCACTATTTATCAATTGCTTTATATATATTTATCCCATTTATTTTCCTTTTTATCCCCGAAAACTTGATTTCCCCATGCTTTTGCCCAGGCTATATGATTTGTATCATATGGCATGCATGATATGTCACAAAATCTTTCACGAACTTTAAAGAATTGATACTATTTTCTGAATATTGTATATTCATAATCACTGATTTTCATTGAAATAGTCTATACAATTTCATAGTTTTCATGATATAACTGAAAAAAAATTACACAAAAACATATAACTATCGATATAGTTGGATGCTGGTGTGGGGAAATAAGATTTTCAAGGGGAAACTTAGAAATTTATATATCCAATATAAAGAAAACAATTAGTGTGTGAGGTAATGACGTCATACAATTATGAGTAGGTTGCCAATTTGTCTTGTGATTTTCAAAGTTTTTAATGTCATAAAAAATTCAAAACTTTCCTATTAGTTATCCGATTTCGCTTCAACTTTTTTTGATTGGTTTGTCTAATTTGTCTGCTTCATTGAAAGTAAGTTATTTTGGAGTGGACTTGCCCTTTAAAGGCCAATCATCGTGCTCTGTTTAATGCAGCTATTTTGGGAAAGAAACGGAAATAATCATATTAAGTTTTGAATTGCTTGGTACTAGCAAGCACTTTATACCATTTGCTTATTTGCCCAGAAAAAATGTTAACAAAATAATGAAAATGGAATGGAAAACCTAGTCACCGAAGGTATCAACAATCATATGGGACCATATTCAAGTGCTAAGTACATGGAAGGGAAGCCTTGTTCAGTTTTTTTTTTTTTCTTTACTTAAATCGTTTCACATGCATCATTAATTTACTATAATTTCTCATCATAATCTGCCATGTGTACCTAACACACCTGAGGACATCGGAGCCTGGTAATACTGTCATTATTCAACCCTACAATTCAACAACATTAAATGTAAATCACACAAATAATTTTCCATTAAATGATCCTCTTTCAAAGAAAAACTATTCAAACATTGACTGCTCATCGGTTGTAGAGAGGGAAAATAACAATATATATAAGAGATAATGCAACTAATGGGAATTGCTCTTCTCTTCTTCTTTGTTATGTGTATGCTTTTGGTGTTATGTGCTATTAAAAGGCTCGTTCATTTTTACAACCTGTAAGTGAATGGCAATTGCGCACATAAAATGCCTTACAGGTATCTACTAAGCTCTTTGTAACAAGGAACACTAATGTTATTTACCGCGTCATATCCGAATGAAGCGAAATAATGGCCTAAATCTGTTTATATTGAGGATTAAGTAGACCTACCTGATTGGCTCTGGTTTCGAAATGATCTCCACAGTACTTGCAACATGATGATCATTACTCCCTTCTGGAAGTGGCACGGACTTCTGATGCACTACAAAGTGGACTGGAAGTGACTTTGAATTTTGAAATGTGCGACAATCCTGACAATCCTCGTCTTTCAATATGCTGCAGTGGAGAACACACGTTTGCTTCTCCCAGTCCTTAGCGTTGAATGGACCTACATGATGTCTATGTTCTCGGTTATCATACTCCTTGATCTGTAGCAAAGCTTTGGTTTCCACGTCAAGATTGGCCAGGTGTATGCACAGGTAATACTTTATTACCTTTCTTGTTTCCCAGATCTGTATGTGGTTCACTTTAAGGAAATTCTTTTCTAACTGAAAGTGACCTGTGAACTCACTTGAAGTTTTCCGCCATGTGATTGGCACATTCTGTATAATGATGGTGTCATCATTGCTGACTGCGTTGTGGCAGGAGATCATAGACAGGATTTGAAGCCATTTTGACTTGTATTCTTTAATGTTTTCCTCCCTGCCTGGAATGTTAGTGGCTATCCTTGAGAAGCACTGAATGGGTTGTGATCGATGGTCTGCACAAATATCCAAGTGAGGAGTCATGTTGAAGAGTTGTACTTTTGGAGTAAGCATACCCTCCATCATCTGTGCATGCATCTGAACCCTGCATGGATCACCCAACTTGTAGCTTCGTTGGAAATTTCCTCTACTTCCTTCCTCCTCCGTGAAGGGATTATCGCTAGGTTGGGCATGGATCAGGGCTGTGCCAATGGCAGTCCGAACTTTCTCTACGTTTCCATCCCTATACATACTCTTGATTGATTGCAGGATCTCTTGCCATTTGTCCTCTGGAATTGTGAAAGGAACGTCTGAATTTGTGACTCTAGTGCTGGCTGGTGATTCTGCTTGGCATTTCCTGCTGTAGTCATACATGCTACACTTCCATGTAACTTGAACATCTGTGAAACCTTTATTTACTACTGGTTTCTCGAAGGGCTGCAGAACACTAAAGGGAATTTCTCTCCGCCTAGATTGGATGTATCTACGATACGGGATAAGCAATTTCATAGATGACTCAGTGATCCCTTCCACAAAAGTTGTAACCTGAAGAGGAGCTTCCTTGAGCTTCAGAGCCAACTTCAGCTCTTTTGTGGCTATGCCGAAGCGCTTACTTTTGGTATGTTGATTGTTGTAATGATGGGTGATCTCAGCCATCTCCTCAGCAGTGTAAGGGCATTTGCTATTCTCCATGCCAGCAACAAGCATCCTATGCACAACAAGGTCAATGTAACGTCTGATGGGTGAGGTGAATTGAGTATATGCTCTCATCTGCAGCGAATAGTGTTCTTGCTTTTCTGGCGTGGTTTCGCTTGTTGATACGACATATTCTGCAGATTCCATGATAGCGTAGAGGTCAAACTGAGCCAGTGCATGTTGTGGATGGTTTTCATCTTGAAGTATGAGATTAGCCATATCCTCCATATGACTTCTTGATGCATTTTTTGATTCACAGCATTCTCTGACCTTCTGCCATACTTCTGCAGCAACTAGGACGTCTGCTCCACCTTGACCTGCTTCTTGGCCTCCAAGCACTGCATCATTGTGATTAGGATCCGCAAGCCCAGAAAGACGAATGCTGTTTCTTAATGTCTTGTCATGACATCTTTTCCATGTCTCTACCTTCTCTTGCGATGGTGCCAGCTGCCTATGAAGTGGTGTACACTCAGGAAACCTGGAAAGAACTTGCTTAGCAACAGCATTGTTAGTCATAAGCATCAGCTCTTCTATCATGACGTGAGCATGTGGATAAGAAAGTGCCCCTTCATCATCGTCATCAGTATTGTACACCATATGTATATCTCCCAATCGCTGCAATCGGCGATGTCTTGACAGCTTATCTAAATACCTAATAGGTTCTGCAACACACATGTGTGCATTAGAAGTACTGTTGCTGTCAACAATCAACTTCTCTGCATCTGCATAGGTAAGTCTCTTACATGATTTAATCACGGACCTTGTATAAATGATAGGCTGGTCAATTATGATCTGCCCTTCATGATCAAGAGTGAAAATGACTGACAATGCAAGTCTATCCTGTCCCGGGAGCAAGCTTAGAAGTCTCAAGATCACATCCTTTGGCAGCATATGATAGGCATCACCTCCGAATGGATGGTAGAACGTTGTACCCCTCTCGTAGGCATCTTTATCCATTGAACTGTCCTGTTGAATGAAGTAGGACGCATCTGCAATGTGTACACCAACTTCATAGCGCTGCCCAGGTAGACAGACACAGCTGATGGCATCATCCAAGTCTGTGGACTCAGGAGGATCCACAGTGAAGATGGTCTTTGTCGTTCGGAAATCTTCTCTTTTCTGAACAGCTTCATCTGGAATACTCCATCCTTCAGGGAAAGCTTGATGCATTTGTTCTATTGCAGCTGGCTCGCATTGATCTTTGATGCCGTGCACAAGTCGAAGGATTTTAAGCCCGTTTTGTTCTGTATCTCCATGATCCAACTCTTCAACAACTGCTCCCAGTGGATATGGAGTCTTTGGAGGCCACTCTCGATAGCAAACAACAAAGAGTTTATGATGTCTCTCCGCGTATTTAACCTCTACTTCTCTTCTCGGGCTGCGTTCAGGTCGTGTTTGCGCCTTGTTTTTCTTTTTCTCAAACAGTGTTACCACAGCTGCACTATTCTTTGAGGTGCCTCCTCCCAGGATAATCATCTTAGGAAACGAACGGTTAATGGGCACCATAACATTATTAATCCGAGGATCAAGGTAGCACACAAACTTGTGTATTTGGGGATTAGCATTGTGTTCAATAATGCCTACTACCCTTCCAGAAATCTTGATTTCTCTTTCGGCATCATGACTTTCTTCAACTTCTTGCTCATCCTTATTTTCTAAGACCTCTACAAGAACCTTATCACTGTTCAGGGCATGTCCTCGACGCTTTTTACTCATGATGGGTATTTCATCTGCGGACTTTTTGTCTTGGGGGACAGCATAAGCACGTCCAGTCATGTCTTGGCGGAAGATACAGATCTTGTACTTGTCAGGCGTTTGATCAGCCTTGCGACGAAGTTCTTTAACATTAGTTTCTTCCAAACTTACATCATATTTATAATCTAGTCGGAAGGCATAACGACATTCTTCTTGCTCCATGCGTAACTTCTGTAGCAGTGTAGTTACCTCTGTGTGTACTGGTACTCCCCTTTCCTCGTTCACCTGAAACCTCAGTTCCTGAAGCCATTCATCATAAGGCAAGTCTTCCTCATCAACTGCAGATACAGCAACAGCAACGGAATCTCTTGGAACGAATGAAAATGAATGGGTTAGCATCACCATGTATATTTATACCTGCATATTGTATACCTATATGATCAAGTAATCAATGACAATTTCTATTTAACTAACATCTCACGTATTCTAAAAAGTACACGAGACCGATTGTCAAACTGATATATCGTTTGTTTGAAGCCAAACGTGCCTCAATCGTAAATTGTGTGAGTTAAAATCTCTTCCAGCTCTTTCCTTTAAAAAAATGTACCATGGTATTACCATGGTTTTTAGTACCATGGTTACCATGGTTCTTAGGGTGGATGGTAATTTGGACAAAAAAAACATGGTAATCATAGTACCGAAAACCATGGTAACACGGAACTTTGGTAACCACGGTTCGGTGTAACATGGGTACCATGGCTCTCCTGACCTTTCGTTACCATGGTTGACAGTACCTAGATTACCATGGCTCATGTAGTACAATGTTACCGCACGTACACATTCGCCTTTCCATTCTGCATGTAGCAATAAAAAGATAGCATTGATAATATTGCGTGATTGGTCTTTATTAATCATTTGATAATTTACTATATTAATGCACATTCAACACAGCATTCCTCACAAAATTTGCCAGCCCTTGTTTATTCAACTTTGAAAGAGCATGGTGGTCTGCAAAGTAGACACACAAATGACAGGAGCTGGCATGAAGTTCACTTCCAACAGAATTATCAATTTTTCTCGAGGTTTAGCCACTTCTCTGGCAGACATCTGTTTACAAAAGACGCCACAATCATGTTGATTCGTCTGTATCGTCTAGTCACTGATGACTGTAACGACATGAAAGCCCTACTAGCGCTAAAATAAAAATATTTATTGCTTTTTACTCTTTCCCCGATTTAGTCGACGATCTTCAAGATCTAGGCCTATTTGCTACACAGTGCGTCCCAGAAAAAAACAAAACCGAGAATTATCGATGTTTTATTTTAACTTAATCACAATTATAATTGATAAATGACACATATTTGTAAAGCTTAGATCCTCCTCTCTCATTTGATGCAACTCGTATAATCTATATGTCACGCATGAGTGATTACAATAAATTTGAAGAGAGGAAAACAAAAAGTCATTTGGCAGACGGTATCTGAATTTCAAAGAGAAAATCACATTTCTAGAAAGTTGAGTTTCTGCCTTTTAATATGACACCTCAGTCAGGAAAAATGAGCTAGGATTTACAAATTTTTGTTTGTTTATCGTAGAGCTTGCATTTCCATAAATTGATAAAACGAATTCGTTTTCACTGACTGTCTGCTGTAGCAACAAACGGAATTAGTAAAAGACTTAACTCCGTTTCGTTGACAATCAGCCGTAGACTAAAGACTTCATGAATGGCTGATTGTCAACGAAACGGAGTTAAGTTATGCATCAATTGAGTTGCATCAAATGAAAGAAGAGGATCTCAGCTTTCCAAATATGTGTCATTTATTAATTATAAATGTGACTAAGTTATGATAAAACATCGATAGTTCTCGGTTTCGTTTTTTCTGGGACGCACTGTACATACGAAGCACTTAGAAAACTTTTGTACACACACGCAAACACACAAGTGTCGCGCGCATTTCACATTGTACACACATTCACCTGGGATTTTGGGGTGTTCGTCGTTCTTCTTTACATAGATAATAATAATAATAATAATAATAATAATAATAATACCGAATATTTAGGAGGGCTAAAAACAATAACTAGCAAAGCGCTTACAAAAACAAATATATGAAAAGAGAACAAAAACGACAGTACAGGAAGTATATCACATAGATTATTGGGGGAAAAGGTGAGTTTTGAGGGATCTTTTGAAGGTGGAAAGACAGGTAATTTCCCTCATGAAAGAGGGATGCTGTTCCAGGTCTTTGATGCAGCTACTGCAACAAGTTTTTCAGCTGCTGAGAATCTAGGTTTGGAAATGATAAGTTTACATGTGTCGGTTGCTGAACGAAGATAACGTGTTGGTGTATATATTTGGAGGGTGTCATTAAGATATTCAGGTGCCAAATGATTGAGCATTTTGAACGCATACAAACATAATTTAAACAGAACACGTTGGTGGAGACGTAACCAGTGAAGCTCCTTTAGTGAGGGTGAAGTATGAGTTCTAGAACCAAGGCCAAAAAATAATTTAGCGGCACGATTCTGGACAGTTTCAAATTTCCTTCTTTCTGTAGCACATACAACAGAATAAAGACTATTGCAATAATCCAACCTAGAATGAAGCATGGTGACATGTCTTGAAATCTATGAATCTACGAATCCTCCATAAATTGCGGAGGTGATAATTGCACGTGCAGCAGTTGTTTTTGTGCGCAGAGAGAAACTACTGCACGTGCAGTGGGCTAATACCCCTGGTTGTATAGTCGTATAGTCGTATGGATGTATAGTTGTATATTAGTTAACTGTTGGTTATGGTACTTCGGCCCACACGCTGTAAACAATACATGCGTATAGTTGTATAGTTGTATAGTCTTACAGTTTTATGCGTTCTAATTGGTTAAAACTATACATCCATCGAACGGATATATAGTTGTCATGAATATGGCACGTCCCGCCCACCATAAGCGCCTGGGCTTTCGCTGGCGCCTGTATGTAGGCGAAGGAATAGAAAGCGCCTACAGGAGATCGAAGGAGATCGCAAACGTCCAAAACCAACTTGAAAATCAACACGAGCAGATTAAAACACTACAACGCAAGCTCGACCAACAGGAACAATACTCCAGGCGAAATTGTCTCCTGTTCTTTGGCTTCGAGGAACGCAGTGAAGAAGATACCGATGACATCATTCTTCAAGTGGCAAATGAAGTTCTCCAGGTCAATCTCTCCAAGGATGATCTGGAACGTACCCATAGAAATGGCTCCAGGCAGAAACATCAAGAAAAGAACCTGCCACGCCCAATCATCGCGAAGTTTACATCATATAGAAAGCGCCAGGAAGTAATCTCCAAACGACGGAAGCTCGCCGGTAAGCGGAAGTCCATCCAGGAAGATCTGACGAAAGCAAATCAAGACCTGCTTGCACATGTACGAACCTCTGAGAAAGTAAAAGCAGCATGGACACGAGATGGGCGTATTCTAATGACTGACAAAAACAACAAAAAACACTTGATCTTGTGCAAAGACGACCTACGGAAGTTTTAAAGTCTGGTTAGGGTAGGCACATTCTGAACTAAGTGAGTGAACTTTTCATTTAATTTTTTTCCCCCTCATTTAACAAAAATACTTGTTACATACTTTGTTATTACAGTATATTATTTTTTATGTTCTGTATTTATTGTACCCCTATGTTTTGTTGTTTGTCTTTATGTAGACGGATTGTCATAGTCATATTTAATGTTCTCCTTTTACATGGATGATACACATGACGCACAGTATCCCATATGCTTAAACCCAGTGTTTCCATTTTCTGATTTGAGCGATGATGAATTTAAGAATATTTTTTCAACACCATTGCATGAACATAAAATTGATATAAATAAATTTAAAAATACATTTAAACATTCTTTAGAATGTGATCCAGCGTGTGACAATGATGACGATGATTTTTTACCCGACGATATTGTTGAAAGTAATTATTATTTGGAAGATGAATTTATGTCTTTACCAAAATTAGATTCTGATTTTAGTATTATACATTTCAATGCAAGAAGTTTATCCAAGAATTTTTTAGCTATAAGTGAATTTATTCATTCATTAAGTTACTCTTTTTCTATTTATGGTTTCACGGAGACATGGATTCAAAGTAATACTCCCATTTTATTTCATTTAGAAGGATATTCATTCATTCATATTGATCGTATCAGTGGTAGAGGAGGAGGAGTGGCTTTTCTTGTCTTGGACTCTTTGAATTTTAAAATTAGAAATGATATTTTATTGCAATGCGATGGTAATGAATGTCTTTTTATTGAGATTACGAATAAGATTGGAAAAAATATAATTGTTGGAATAATTTATAGGAAACCGCAATCAAGAGTAGAAAGCTTTATTAACGCAGTTTATGTATGTTTACAAAAACTTAATAAAGAAAATAAATTAATTTATATTATGGGTGATTTTAATATTGATCTTTTAAAATGTTCAAATAAATATAGTGCTGATTTTTTAGACATGTTACATTCCTCATCACTCTTGCCACTAATTGTTAAACCCACACGTATTTCTGTAAATAGTGCAACTCTTATAGACAATATATTTACAAACAATGTTTTTTCATGTATAACCCCGGGAATATTTTTTAATGATGCATCTGACCATCTTCCAATATTTCAAATAACAGGGAAAATTATTTATAGAGATTATGTGTGTAATATTCCTAAAAAACGTATAATCAATGAACGTACTATAAATAGTTTAAAGTTGGATTTGAATAATGAGGATTGGAATGGGGTTATGTATCCCAGTAATGTAGAAGTAGCATATGGTCGGTTTAAACATAGATTTATGGTATATTATGATAAAAACTTAACGTATTCTACTAGAAAAAAATAAGAATAAGTGCAAGAAACCTTGGTTAAGCGAAGAATTATTGAATGTAATCAAAAATAAAAACAAGTTGTATAGAATATATTGTAAGAATTCTTCTTCTAATAATAAACTTAAGTATCATAAAGCTCGCAACAAGGTAAATAAATTATTAAAAATGGCACGCAAGGCATATTATGCAAATAGATTTAAGAAAACTAAAGGTAATATTAAACAAACATGGTCTGTAATAAATGAAATATTTGGTAAATCTAGGAAGACTTTGCCTTCATATTTTATAGTAAATGGACAAAATATTCATGATCCACATGATATTGCAAATTCTTTTAATGATTTTTTTATTAATATTGGATTGAATATATGCAATACTATTCCTGTAAATAATATTGTAAATTATAGAGATTTTCTGCCTCAACCATGTGCTACATCTTTATTTCTAAAACCTGTTAATGCAAATGAAATAACTACAATTGTGCAATCATTAAAAAGTACTCAAAGTTGTGGAGTAGATGATTTTAATCCATGTGTAATTAAGAAAGTTATTGATTATATTTTAGAACCTCTTATTCATATTTTTAATATGTCTTTAAGTACAGGAATTATTCCATCTGATATGAAAATAGCGAGAGTCACCCCAATATACAAAAAAGATGATGTTCATAATTTAGGCAATTACAGACCAATCTCAGTTTTAACTTTTTTTTCAAAAATCTTAGAACGAATTGTATATAATCGTTTGAATACATTTTTATTAAACAATACAATATTACATTCTTGCCAATATGGATTTACGAAAAATGTATCAACTGAAATGGCTCTAATTGATGTTCATGATTATTTAGTATCTTCCTTAAGTAATAAATTACACACTGTAGGTCTTTTCTTAGATTTAAGCAAAGCCTTTGATTCTATAGAT